CTCCACAAGGAGCATACACAACCAGAGGCCTGTGCACCCCAACGACAGAGCAGCTCCCCACACCCCGCAACTAGAGAAAAGCCCACGCCACAGTGAAGACCCAGCACAGCCAAATAAATAAATACAAATAAAAACCTATACTCCAATATTTAACAACATCCAAACCTTGAGTTTTACCTCTTCTCAGCAGGGTTTTGATGACTAATAAATGACAATGGAGGGTAACTAGGTGGTAGGAGAGCAAACTCTTAAGTCACTGTGCCCCTGCTATTATTATTATTAGGTCATTCCCATCTGAAAGTTGAACTATTTACCTCGAAGGAACTTCTAGTGGTAAGCTTTCCATATGCAGCTTATTTCTGGGATCTTCACTAACTTACACTACTTGCTGTATTTTTTTCCTTTAGCATGAATATGCTGGTTAGCCCTTTCAAAAATCCTACACAGTATTATATTTATTTTATGTATGAGAAATACCAGGGTTCAGAAGGCCTAAGTGTTTCTCTCAGGCCACACAGCTAGAGCAGGTCTACTGAGTGCCTCATGTCAGGGACACCGAGAGCTTGAGAAAGACCCATGGAAATATAGCACAGCCTCGAGTCACCCCAAGACTCATGGGATGCCATATGCCACATTAGCACTGACGAGGTATTGGAACTCCACGTGGTCACCTTTCACATGTTCACCGGTTTATATGTTTACGAACACGTTTATGTGTTCACCGGTTACATTAACTCAGAAAACAAATCTGAAGGCACAGGAAAAGATGTCTTATGTGGCCTTGTGTGCCAGGCACTGTGCTGAGCACTCTCCCTGAATTATTTCATTCAATTTTTTCAGTAGTCCTAAAAAGTAGGTATTAAGAGCTGCATTTTACAAGATAGGAAAACTAAGGCTCTGAAAGATTATTTGTCTAAGGTGCCTTAGTTGAGAAGCAGTGAAATGTCTTAGGTGTGAGAATCCAAGGCCATTGGTTCCACTCCTTTCCACCATCTTAGAGTGAGGAAGAGTATATAAATGGAAACGTGGCCGCATAATGAATCACAAGCTAAAGAATTCTTTTTCATAGAGTTTTGATATATGTTATCAGACAATTGTTTGGCTAAAATATTTTAATAAAACGTAAATATCAAACATGAGTTTACATTACATTGATTTTTTTTTTTTTTGGAGTGTAATTGCTTTCAGTGTTGTGTCTGTTTCTGCTGCACAACAGCAGCAGAATGTGAGTCAGCCTTATGTATACATAGACCCCCTCCCTCTCGAGCATCCCGCCACCCCCCACCTCCCCCAGCCCGGCCTCTAGGTCATCAGAGAGCACCAAGCTGAGCTCCCTGGGTTATACAGCAGCTATTTTATGACACTCATTTTTGATTGCTATGGGTTTAGTGAGAAATATTTGGGAAGTGTCCTGGTGGCTCAGACAGTAAACAATCAGCCTGCAATGCAGGAGACCCAGGTTCAGTCCCAGGGGTTGGGAAGATCCCCTGGAGAAGGGAGAGGAAACCCACTCTAATATTCTTGCCTGGAGAATTCCATGGACAGAGGAGCATGGTGGAGAACAGTGTGATTGCTATTCAAACATGTTAGTAACCAAGCACTCATACTAGAAGCTCAGGGGCTTTAGTCTTCAAAAATTGGGTTGATAAATGACAGCCCATGGGCCCAATCTGCCCACCCACTGGTTTCTCGAGGCCCATGAGCTAAGAATGTTTTAACATTTTTTTTAAAGGGTGAAAAAAATAGGAATATATTCTGACACATAAAAGTACATAAAATTAAAATGTCACGGCCCATAAATAAAGGCTTTATTACAACACAGCCAGGTTCATTTATTTACCTACTTTCTATGGCTACTCTCGTGTTACAACTGCATGGAGCGGAGAAGTTGTGACAGAGGCTATGTGGCCTACAGTCTAAGTTCCTATCAGAGCTTCTACAGAAAAAAAATTGGCTGACCCCTGTTCTAGAGCATTCACACATTCAGGCACAATGTGAGTTTCTGAATTTTTTCTATGAAATTCTGAAACATTCTAATTTTTTTTTTTTTCCTGCCAGAAAGAATGCTAAAGCAGCCTTTCTCTGAAAAAATTTTGATAGCCTGGGCTGATTTGAAATGACACCATTACAGTCCAGTGCCTAGTGGGTCCTTCTTGAAAGACCCCTGCCTTCACTCATCTTTTAGATACATTAGAGTTATCTCTAGACAGTAAAGCTGCATCTTACTACCCAACCAGGCCTTCCTTTATTTATACTGACTGCATTATGGGTTTAGTTTCACAACATTATGAGTTCATCCAAGCTTCTTGAATCATTTATAGGGACTTTCATTTTCGATCTCAAATTCTTCCACTCTGCTATGAAATTTTTTTTTTTAATGTAAAGCTCAGAGCACTAAATGGGTTACACATGTAAAATACAGCCCATAATTTTATTTATCCTTTAGCTTTAAGAAATCAGAATTTTAAAAATTGCTTTTTCTTGAGAAATGAAACTTAATTTTGCAGAAATAAAAAAATGCTTGCATGTCCAGGGATCTCAAAGCACCTCTGGTGGAAATACAAAACAGGGTAAAGAATGTCTATTTATTTTTAAATACTGTTTACTTCTTGAGGGAAGTAGTATTTAATATAAAAGATGTGACTAGTAACAAATAGAGTCCAAGGCTATTTCTGGTTCTGTCAATGACTCACTTTGACTTTGAGCAAATCGTCTCGCCACTGTTGCTCTTTATCTGCAAAAACTGGACTTCATGCCTATGGGAGTTGCATGGCTAATCAATGCCTGAAAAATGCGTAGTGGCAGATGCTACAAAAGTGCTGAGCCTTAAAAACAAAACCACCCCCACCCCCGATTTGTATTCAGTTGAGGTTGGGGCTTATTGTTATTTAACATTCGAAGGCCAACACTACGTTAAGTCCAGCGTGCTGAACAGAACAGATAATAATCACCGCCCAGTAGAAATTAAAAAAAAAAAAAATCTAAGATTTTTGGACTTTTATTTTTTCCTTTTCGCGGTTAGGGGTTATTTTAGCATCTAGTAATACATCCATACAAAAACATTCAGCTCTAAGTTGAAAACTATCGATTTGAAAATCTAAATAAACCCCCTGGAAAAGAAAAAAAAAAAAAAAAAAAAAAGCCTTCCCCCGCCCCGCCAAGAAATCTCTCAAAACAAGAATTCTTCTGATGTTTTTTTTCCTCCCTGCAGTTCTCCATGTTACAGTCCTTGGAGGTAGAATAGGCATAAAATACTTTCACTAATAAAATATGACAAACCGCCGGATTATACGTGGCCGATTCCCAGTGATCGCCCAGCTACACAAAGCAGAAAAGTAAATGCCATCATCCCCCTTAGAACAAAAGAACTTAGGAATAAAAAACACGGAGGGGGGAGAAAGCGGCAATAAATGAAGGTGAGCGAGGACCCCGGCCCCCGCCCCTCCCCGAAGCGAGTGTGGGACGGAGTGTGGCTAATAAAGTGGTTCAAGGGTAGTTATTTGGAAAGGGGGCGGGGTAGCGAGGGGAGGGAGCGGGCGGGCGAGCGAGCGAGCTAGCGAGCGGCGGCCGGGGATTGCATGTTGCATTCGACTTGAGGTGGCATCTTTCTCCTGTTGCCTGGACCACGCTCCCCCATTGCAGTGCTTCCCTCCTCGCTTCTCTCCATCCCTGCCCTCCACGGCTTTCTCCCCCCGCCCCCCACCCCCTTCCAAACTGCTGTTGCACTGGAGGGAGTTGGGGCCGCTCCGGAGCCCCTTTTGCAGCTCCTGCCGACGGGAGGGGGGAGTTGGGCTCGGGCCGCCGAGTTGGTGGTGGTGGTGGTGTTGGGGGTTGGGGGGGGTGTCGGCCGCAGCGGGCTCCGGCCTCGCCTCAGCTGCAGCTCCGTGGGTGCCGAGCTGCAGCGCTGCACGGGCCCATCATTGCGGCGGCCCCGGAGTTTGGCCGCTCGGTGCTCAGCCCCATCACCACCACCGCCGCCGCCGCCGCCGCCGCTGCACTGGAGTTTGGCTGCCGCTGCCCTACTTCACTCTAGTTTAGTTTCACTCACTTTACATCCGGGTTTTTTCCCTAGGCAATGGGGGCCGCAGCACACCCCGTTCCTTAGGCAAAGTGAAATAAATTCGCCGCACCGACACGTCAAGTAGTCCGCCCGCCCGAGCGCCGCCGCGGGCCCCCCGCCGCCCCTCCCGCCGCCCCCCCACTCGCCCGGGGGAGGCGAGGGGCCCGTGCTTCCCCGGGAGCCGCGGGGAAGGAGGTGCGGGGGGGGGGTGCCCGGGCCGGCCGCCGTACAACTCCCGCCCGGCGGCCCCCGCCCCCCCGCCCGTGCCCCTCTACCCCGGCGCCTCCTCTCCTTCCCCCCGCCCCCCCCTCCGCCCTCGTCCCCGCTTTCCTCAGCCCCAGTCCCTCTCGCCCGGCTCTCGGGAGCGGCGGGGGCGCGCACGGCGGCGGCGGCGGCGGCGGCGGGCCGGCGGGGCCGCGCGGCGGGCTCCCGCGCGGGCGAGAGTGTGTCTGGGCCTGGGCGGAGGGATCCCCGGGCTGAGGCGGCGGAGGTGCTGCGGCCCGGGGCCGGGTGGTGAATGGGCTGGTGGTGCTCGCCGCCGCCGCCGCCGCTGCTGAGGAGGAGGAGGAGGATGAAGAGTTGGGCTTGTTTGTCTCCCACAGTTTCTCTCCTGCTGCTCTGATTTCTGCCCTCCCGTTCCGGCCCGGGGCCTGTGTGTGTGTCTGTGTGTGTCTCTCCTGGACGAGGAGGAGGATCCTGTTCCTCCCCCCCACCCCCTCCTCCCCACCCCCCCTTGCCTGGGGAAGAGGAGGAAAGAAACAGCCCAGAGAGAGAGAGAGAGAGAGAGAGGGAGAGAGTGAGTGAGGGAGAGAGGGAGAGAGAGAGGAGGAGGGAGAGGGGAACAACCTACCATCTTAACACACTAATATCTAAAAAGTGCGAGAGGCCCAGAGCAGCAGAGAAGCAGCAGCAGCCGCTCCAGAGCCTTCCCTCCCTCCCCATGAAGAAGAGTTCCCTCCTCCTCCTCCTCCTTGCTTCTCCTGCTCAGAGTTCCTGCCTCCAGCTGCCAGGGGGGACAGCCAGCCAGCAGCAGGAGGGTGCAGTATCCCAGCTTTTCCATTCTCTCTTCTCCTCACTCTCCTCTCCCCTCTCTCTCTTTTTTTTCTGGAGTAGCTCTGTTTCCCCTCCCTCCCCCTTCCCCCTCTCTCCTCTCTCTCCTCTCTCTCCTCTCTCTCTGTCTCGTCTCTGGTGTTTGTCTCTGGGAGGAACAGGGGGCTGCTTGCTTGGAGTTTGTTGTTGGGGGGGGGAGGGAGGGGGAGGGGAGGGGTATGTGGGAGGGAGGAGGGAAACGGGGGGTGTTCTCGCCAGGACCCCTCAGTCAACTTGAGATTTGAGCAATAACTTCCCCTTCGGGGCGCCCCCCCTCCCCTCTGCGTGCCTTTCCTATTCCACCCCCCCACCACCCAAAAAAAAAAAAAAGACAATGGAAAAACCTGGTCTCCCCCTTCCTCCCCTCTGCCCTCCACCCCTCCCCAGGATAAATTGGAAGTAAGTTTATGAGCAGCCTCGGGAGCCTGGGCGCTGAGTGCTGGGCCGGAGCGGGTGACAGAGGCGGCGCGCCGGGGGTGGCGGGGAGGGGGGTGTCACATTGTCCCGGCGGGGGGCCGGGGAGTGGGGGGGGGGCGGCCGGCGGGGGCGGGGGGCGCGGAGCCTCGTCCGCCCCCTTGGGCTCTCTGCCCTCGGCCCGGGGATGGTCGCCGGGGCTTTTTCACTACCCCACCCCCCACCCCTCGGGATGCTGTCGGGGGGAAGTTTTTATTATGGTTATTTATTTAATTTTTTTTTTTTTCTGGGAAAACCATCTTGTTTGGTGACTGAGGGATCTGGTTTAAAAAAAAAAAAAAAAGCTGCGGCTGCTGACGCTGCCGGGCCCGTGTGTGTGTGTGTGTGTGTGTATGTATGTGTGTGTGTGTTGGTGCATTTGTCTTGGGTGGCCGGAGCAGCGTTGGGGAAATTCCGCTTATTCTTCTTCTTCTGCAACTTGTTATTCCGGAGAGTCTGCCTGCACCCCTCACCCCGGGGCCGGCCCTCCCGCACTCGCCCCCACCGCCCGCGGCCGCGGGGCGCCCCCGGGACCCCGAGCGGGCCGGGGCCGGCAAGAGAGGGGCCGCGGCCGCCCCTCCCCCGCCCGCGCCCCCGCCGGGGGGAGGGGCGCGCGGAGTGGGACTCTTTCCGTTTGGTCCAGCCCCGTCGTGCACGCAGTTCCCAACACTTCTCGTCATCCTCTCTTTGGTCTCTTTATTCTGCTGAGCGGTGCTGCTAGGATTTCTTTCTTTTTTTTCTCCCCTGACCACGTTCGCGATGGTGGGTAGTAGCAAGGTGGTCCTGGCAGGGGAGGGGTCGATGTCGAGATTGGGCACCGGGGGGAAGAATGTCTCCTTTCAACTTTATCTGTGGCTTGCACCCCCGGAGAAGGCCACACGCCGGTTGTGGGGTGCAGATGTGCCGAGAGTGATTTCTAAGTAGTTGAGTTGTCGAGATGAGGGTAAGACTGCTAATGGTAGGCAGGTTTTGTTTTCATTGGTGAATCTGGTGTCATCATATTCCGGTCATATGTTGAAATATTCTTTGTTTAGGTCTTGAAGTAGAGGATCTTACTCCGCACGTCCACATTGTGGTGTTTTTAAATGATGTCTCTGCAAGTATGGCTTTCTAGAATTTAAAATGTGAGTTAAGGTCCGGGCGTGTGCGGGCCTCAGCACTGGCCTTGACAGTGAACTTTGTGGCTCTGTTTTGGTTTTCAAAGATTTGCTCCATAGCTGGGGTGCGAGCTGTGCATTTTAGTGTCAGGAATGTAGATGCTTGAGCTGGGGACGTTGGAGAAGGAAGAACATTTATATATTAATAATTGATAGCTGAATATTAGGATCAGATTAATTTGGACTGATGAAAGTTTTGTTTTTTTTTTTAAAGCAGTTATGCACTCTAGGAAGGAAGCCTTTTCATAGGCACACTTTATAGGGGGTCTTTAGGGCGCAGAGCTTGACTATCTCCTTTTAGAGAGGATACTCAACCAACATCTGTAGCTTCATTGAGGGCCTGATAAAGGGACTGAAACTGGGGCTAAGATATCGAAGTGTACTTTTCAGTCTTTATGTTGTTTGTTTACATCTGATGTTCACTCACGTTTGGGCAGTAGAAGTAAATAGGTCAGCTTTTCTGTTGCCTTCTGAAAACTAGCCCCCTCCCCCAACCCCCTTTTTTCCTAAGTTTCACAATTTACTTGGTTTCACAGCATTGTAGGAAACTGTTACTACATTTTTACTGGAAATGCTATTATTCATTTTGATTTTGGTAAGTCCTTTTCTGTTCTTTTTTTCTCTTTCTGTTTGTATATGGAATCTAAGTTGTGGGCTTAAAGCTGGCTTATTAAGGTCCATTTAAAATGTCTGAAGAACGCATTTTACAATCTCACATCTTTTGATGGCAAAGAGGAAGTTTTTGTTTGCAGTTATGCTCATGTTTATGGAAAAATTCTGTACTTAAAACTTTCGTTGATGTACAGCTATCCTTAAATGAAGAGCATAGTAATAGTGCAGAAAATTCTTCAAACAAGTTTCTGGCTAACACGTTAAAAATATTCAGGTGCTTTTCTTTATGTCATACTTTTAGTTTTTTTAAGGTAATAGTATTTGCAATATGACTGATGTTGCTTGGATGGTCTTAATAGTCTTTTTGCTTGAATGCTTCAGAAGGCTTTTTAACATAGTTTTTAGATAATTTTGCAAGCTTTATTTAAGTTTATTGCACTTAGAACTCCCAGGCGAGTCTTTATGGAACTAGAAAAGTAAAAAGCCCCCTGCCTTTGCCAGATTTTATTTTTAAGAGGTGTAAGTGTTGGGCGGCCCCTGTTTCTTTTAGCTTTGAAGGATCCATCCTTTTTCCCATTCAGTCATCTGGAAAGAGCTGCCTCAGAAATACTCTTCTTCTGCTTACATGAAGAACTCTAAATGCTATCCAGCAGGAGGTGCTGCAGCAAGAGAAAGGAAGCCTCTGAATTGTAAGGGTCTTGCTACTTATTACAGCTCTACCTAGCTTCAGCTAAGCAACAGGATTAACACCTTAAAGTTCCAGAAAGATCTTGAGTAAGTCCTTTGAAAAATTCCATTTGCTATTAGAAGCTGAAATTTGTGACTGCTTTTTACCTGCTTACAATATTACACAAAATAGATTGCTTATGGTGGACAGCTTAAGGATGCTGCCCTTAGGTACAGAGTACTGTTAGAAATATTTTGCTTGGAAAATAATTAGTCTCATATTGGAGTTACTCTCATATTGATGAGTGGAGTGTTGAACACGTTTTTAAAAGTTACGTGCTGTGGATGGCTATAAACAAAAGTAGTTAATATGACTTGGGACTTTGGACTTTGTGGTCATCTTTATAATATTAATACGAGTGAGATGTAGAGTACTTGAACTATTATTGGAAAGGGAGATATTGTATGGAAAAATTCTTATAGACTTTCTGTGTTTTTTTTCTTCCCATCTATGGACAGTAATCCTAATAGATAAATTTTTAGGCCCTCAGCTTTATAAATACATGCAGTTAATGTGTTTGAGTTGGCCTCCAAAGACTGAGATTCTTGAACTAGAAGTAAAGTTCTGTCTGTGGGTATAGGTCATTGCTGATATGGCTGTTAGTACCACTTAACAACAATTGCATAAAGATGGAACTATTTTCATAACATTTATAGCACATGGTCCTTTGAAACTCTTGTTAGTGTTAGGTGAATTGATTTATCACTGGAAATATTATGGTACTGTGGTGGCTTTTAAAGTTTTATATCAAAGTTTTAAAAACTTAAGAATGTGTAGAAATTTTGATGAACTTGCTTTGAATTTTGTTTGTTTTTTGGAAATAATGCTGTACTTTTTTCTCAGTGAGATCAAATGATATAATACATGTGAAAGTTCTTTGTAAATTGTCAGAAGCCATGCAGATGTTAAGTTGTTGAGATAGGTGGCTAATTAATACATGGGCAGAAGCTCCTGGCTTTAAAATATTAACTTTCTCCATATCATTTGGGAAACGAGTGCATTAAAAGTGCACCCAGACACTTTATGAACTTTTTTTTAATACTGCTGTGGTTACCAAAAAGCTCTTTGTTAGAATATTGAAGCTTTGTTTAAAAATGCTGTCTAGGCAGTCTCCCCTAATTAAAAAAGAAAAGATCATTTTTTCCTTCTGTAGACCCTGTGAAATGTGTATCTCTTGTTAAAGTTTTTCTTCATTCTCCATTGATGTGATAGTAGTTAATTTTAGTGATTATTTTAAAGTTCCTGTATTCTTCTGTAGACTTTTAGTAACACAGAGTAACAGCTGTCACGGTTAATATTTTGATTGTTTTGACTGATCCTGCTAACTTTCTGAAAAATTCTTTCGAACTAAACCATTCAAACTTGTTTTAGAGTGAAAAAGACATGTATCTGTATGCGTTAGTATTAGGTACCTGTGTGTATCATTTTTGTTTTTCTAATTGAGAAGGATGTGTGAGGAAATGACTACTCAAATCTAGAGGAGTGCACTGAAATATTTTTTGGGTCAAAATAACTTAGAAGTTTAAAACTCAGAACTTTGAGTTCTGGCTTTCTTAATAGACGCTACTCATGAATTTGGACTGAAATAAAGTAACATATAGATAATGGGGAGTTCCTATTTTGTGAGCATATCAAAAGGTGTAGTAGCTTAAATTTTAGAATTAACTACTCTTTATGAAATAACCTCAACTAGAAATTAAATATAGAAACTTGCTTCAGTGAAGGGTGAGAAAAACATTTAACTGTTTAGATAAAAATGAAACTTCTCAGGGTAATATTGACGATTTCATCCTAGACAGTGAACACTAAAGTTTTTTTTTTTTCTGAGGAAATACTGACATTAAGGTTTTAGTAATGTGTTTTAAATTTTGGATCCTTAATATTTTATTTCCGAAGTCTTTTGTATTTAATTACTGTTGAAAGGGAGAAAAGGAAGGGGTTATAGTTTTAGGTCTCTAACCTTTGACAGAAATCATTTATATCTATATTCAGAGCTGATTTCTTGAAACATGTTTGAATCTTCATATTAATTTGTGCTGGGAAGTATTAATGATTTATGTTGACTTCTTAGAACTTTTGTACATGGGCTTTTTTCATAGGCCCTAAATATTCTTTAGGAGCATAGCAATGTATTTTGGTCACTTTCTAACTTTACCTGGTGTGTATTTTTGCTTCTTGGAGGTGTTTTTTAAAGTAATATGTTAATACTGCATGGAAATTATTGTTACTAATTATTTCTTAAATAGCATATGTTTCCTTCTTTGTACCATGTGTGGGCATGTGGCCATACTGTTTTGTGGGCTTTCATATCATCTTATTTGTGTATTGAGTTTCTGGACAGTTACCTTTGGTGGGAATGTTGAAATAGACTGTTTGTTAGAAATAACTTTTATATTGCTTGTCTGTCAATTGACTCTTAAACTGGGATGGTAGTGAACTTTTCCCTTTAAGAGAGAAGCTGTGTTTCAGTCATCCTTTGAGCTTTTCTAAAGCAACTTTCTTACACTAGACACTTGTTAGGCAGTTTGAATGCCCCTCCACTTCTCTCCCTCCCAACACACTGCATACTGCACACCTCTGCCCCCTTTTTAAATAAAAAATAGTGAGCAGGTCTCAGCTGGAGGAAACTATTCTTTCCTATATTTTGGAATCATCTATGGAAGTGAACTGATAATTTGGAGATAGGAAAGGGATGGGGCCTAACAGGTTGATGATCTAGGTTATATTTTGACTTTGTGGGCCTAGGGGAGAAAAATAACTTAAACACAGAAGCCAAAAAGATGGGTTTTGTTTTATTGTTTTGGCTGCATTGAGAATACAAACTGTCAGTACTTGAGGAGAAGGAGCAGCAGAAAGGAATTGATTTTTTTCTGCTGCAGATCCAAGTATTGTTAACCATGTGGATCTCTAAAGTAGCATACTTACAAATCAAACAGTAGTTGATTCTCTGACTCAATTAGCAGTCAAAGCCCTAGACTGTTTTTTAAAATTTTAAACAAGTACCCAAAACTTCAGAGTAATGACAATAATTTCCTGATAAAAGTGGGTGATAGTAACCATGGCAACTGCTATCTCTGGCCTTATGGACAGTAAGATCCTGTAGTAGCCTGTCACTTTTATGGTGAAATGTAGTAGCATGTGTTGCAGGTGATTTTTAGCTGGATTGTGTTAAATTTGTGTGCCAGCTTATCTTCCCTTGTTAGGAATTTCTT